TCCCCCTCCTCCTCTTCCTCCTCCTCCTCCTCCTCCTCCTCCTCCTCCTTCTTTTTGAGACAGGAGTTCATAATATGTTTGTGTAACCCAGATTGACACTCACTATGTAACCCAGGCTGGAACTCATTATGTAGTCCAGGCTGGAGCTCACTGTGTAGCGCAGGCTGGAGCTTACTATGTAGCCCATGCTGGAATTCCCTATGTAGGCCAGGTTGGAACTCACTATGTAGCCCAGCCTGGCCGCTAAGTCACAATCCTCCTCCCTCCATCTTCCAGTGCTGGGATTATAGGTATATACCACCATGCCTGTCCATTCGGCCATTTTATATTTTCTTATTAATAAAAGCAAAATTTTATGCAGACATATTCCTAGTTACATATCTTTAATTTCAAATAATTTCATATTGACATTGGAGTGCTTTCTAGAAACAAGGAAGTAAAAAGGAAAGAAACAGAAATATATTATAAGTTATATTATATGAGGGTCTCTCTCACCCATGTCCTGTAGAATGCTAAAAAGATGGTGTAAATATACAAATATAGACATAAAGGGCTAATAAACAAATATTTGAATTAGAAGAGTAGTGAACACTGTGTTAGGAGACAGTAGTGACACATCCATCAGACTATAGTGCACGTGTCTAAATATCTTTTCAAGTCTAACCGCCCCCCCACACAGATAGCTTTCCTAGGACAATTCATTTGAAGAAATCAGCATACCCACCCCCCGCGCAGCATTAGATCCACCGAATTTCAGTTTTATCACATAAACATTCACTGAGAAATTTCTATGTACAAATTCACACTTAGTTTAAGGTAGAGAGAAATGACAGAAACATAAAAGCTTTAGTTGAAGCATAAATCTAATAAAGCGATAAAGAGATGAATAAAGGAATAGCAAACCGGCGCACACTGTTGGGGTGGATTTACAATTACCTCTGGATGAGGACTCTGAAGAGTCGACTGTTCCCTGGAGAGAAAACGGCATGAGGAAAAGGTGTGATGATTTCAGGGGGATGGTTCACAAGACTGTGATGGTTTCAGGGGGATGTACATGCAATTATGAGGTGGAAAAATTCCAGGGAACCGGAATCATCATCCCACAGGCATTTAGACTGCAGTCAGGAGGGTTTGAGCGACAGAGGAAGGTACAGACACTTGTCAGGAAAGTGAGATTCTCACGTGAGAACTGTGTGTGTGGTGGATGAGGAGACTGGAACAGAGTTAAGATGGCAGTCCAGTGCAGCACTGACAGTGCCGTGAAGCCTGAGGACTGTGACACGTGCTGCGGAAGCTTTGCTGCACTAAACATTCAACAAGTTATTGGCTGTATCTTCCACTTTCCCTGAGCTGGAAGGCAGAAATCGCCCTGTAAATCTCCTGTATCACTCATGGCATACATTTAAGTACTCAGGGATTAATCACTAAATACTTATGGACTTATGGATATGGATTTCACAACTTTTCATGTACAATCAAGCGATAGGATGTATGTGAGTACAAATCCACCACTACTAGAGAGAAACAATGCCTCTGTGTGCCCAACTGCCCACAGTCAGAAGCATATGCTTAATTATGCTTTATTAGCATTGGCTGCCTTCTGTGGACAAGGCATTTTAAAAATTATTTAGCATACATATTTTCCTATGTTTTAAAAATCTGGTATAAAGGCAAATGTACATGTATAATTTCATTATTAACAAATTATGTCTTTGTAAGAAAGATGAATATCAGGAATTAATTTTTTTCTTTTAAAATTTGACACCGAATAGCAAACTAACAATAGAGATGTGTCTTTGTTATGTATAAAAATTGGTTTTCATCTTATAGATCTACATATCACAAACAAGGCCAGCCAGTCAGTTCTCCTCCTAATGGAAAAATTGTCAACATAGGAGAAAACCCACAATTTCTGTTACAAGAAAGAGAACCACGTGTTTATATTCATTTATGCAGATTTTAGTAATGGTTGTTACTTTTTGACAAAAATATTAGACACTGACTGGGCATGATGGCATAGGCCTTTAATCTCAGTACTTGGGAAGGCAGAGGCAGCCAGATCTGTGGTATGCACACACACACACACACACATGCCAGCCTAGTCTACATAGCCACAGTTCTAGGATAGCCAGGGCTGTACAGTGAGACCCTGTCCCAAAA